TTGCTGTCCTGGCCGCACACGATGCCGATCAATTGATCGAGTAGTCGGAAAGTGTGTTCGCTGAGATCAATAACAAACTGTGTCTTCAATGGCACACCCTGTACCGAAGTCTGACTCCATATTATGCTCTGTGCTGCGCCGCAAGCTATGCCAAACGCCTGTACTGAAGGGTGGGTGGCTAGTATTGGATCGCGAAGTATAGGCTCTTTCGATATGGCGGCCGGACAAACCTGTTGAAAGTCATTGCGACCCCAGCCAAAGACCTCGCCTTTACTGCTCATAGCCAGACAATGCCACACGCCGACCGATACGTCCACTATTACCTTTGACTGTGAGGAAAAAAATATATGTTTTATACATTTTAGAAATTGAAAAAATGTTCAACGCACCTGCAAAGCGCATATCTGCTTTGGCGTATTGAGACATTGCACATTTTTGTCTAGTAATCCATGTCCCAGTCGCCCGTCGTAGGCCTTGCCCCACGAGTAGAGTTTTCCATCGCAGCTGAGCACCATCGAGAATTGCGAGCCAGCAAATACTCTCTTTATAGGGGGCAGAGCTTCGATTAGCAGTGGCACTTGCGATCCATTGCAGGAACCGTTGCCCAACTTGCCATAATCACCGTCGCCCCAGGCAAACACGTGCCCCTCGGTCGTCAAACAAAGCGTATGCGAGTCACCGCTGCCCAGCGCAACATCAATAATGCTATGCTCGCGTAAAGCATGCACATGTGTTGGTAATAGCTTGTCATCCGAGTTGCCATGGCCGAGGCGCCCATATGTGCCGCGACCCCAGGTATAGAGGTTACCGTTCATGGTGATGGCCGCGCTGTAGGTGCAGCCGCAGTAAACCGATTTAACGCTGTGCTCCAGTGATTGGATTTTGGTTGGGTGTTCGCGCAGCAATGAGTCACCATGGCCCAGGCGGCCACCCTCGCCACAACCCCAAGAGTACGCATTGTCTGGAAAAGTATAATTAAAATTGCGATAAAAAAATCATGAATTTAATAATTACCCATGCTGTCCACAGCCAGGAAGTGACGTCCTTCACAATGCGCGGCTACCGCTGTTACGTGCACATCTGTCATTTCCTCGATAAGCATCGGCTCCGTCTCGGGTTTGGCTATGCGCCAAGTGTACATTTTGCCTTCGTGCGTGAGGAAAAGCACATACTCCTCGGAGAAGACTACTTGCTTAACTTGGAAATAGAAATTCAATACAGGAGCTGGATAGTGCCCGCCCGCTATGACATTCCCGGTTGTTGATAGACCCACTGCTGGTTCCGCTGTGAAACCATATTGATCGTGGCACAGCGATAGCCAGCCGAGCGCATATATGCGCTGTTCATGTAGCTGTGGTGTTGAAGCAGCCGACATGCTTTCCTGTGAGGCCTGCGCATGCAATGAAGGTTTTGTTGGCTGCACTGCACGAATGGGGAGGGGTGTAGTTGAGGTGCTAGTTGGCAAGTGCGGTTTGGCCAGCCGATCGAGGTGAGAAACAATGACCACTGCGGCCTGCTTCAAGTCTACGTTGGTGGTGTCCTGTTCCGGTAAAGTGAGAAAACGTAGGAATGACTCCGTGGCGCTGGCTGGAGCTGCTTCCGCGCTGTTATTGAATCCATAGTTGCTGATGGTTTCGTAGCGGCGTAAAATGGGCACCAAAGGGGCGCCCGTATTCTGGGGCACATCGCGGTTGTCATCGGTTTCCTTTTCTTTCTCCCATAGCGTCATTAGCAACACAATAGATTCTAATGTGGCAGCGAGCGTGCCTTTTTGGGCGCCAAGCTCCAGCAGCAAGCAAAGAGCGGTATGGCGATCTTCTCGTGGAGCTGTACACCGGCCACCCAAAGGGTCGCCAAGCGCCACCTGACGCAGAAATTTTATAGAACGCTCCAACACTTCGATCCACAAAGTAGAGACCTGAAAACAGATTTAGTCTATATTTTTGGACAAAGAAAAGATGTGTTTGTACTTACCTGCGTGGCATCGAACAGAGAAGCTTCCGGCAGATCTTGCAACGATTCCAGGGCTTCACTAAGCAGTTCACTGCACATCTCCGTGTCCTCCCCGGAACGCCAAGCGCGTCGCAAGAATGCAAAGGAAAAATTAAGCGCTGCACGCGTGCCTACACGCGCTAAACCTAATGTAGCACGCTCATTTTCCTTTATTGGCGATGGCACGTCCACTGTTGAAAAATGTCGCAATTTATTTGCTGTCAGGTAATTTATTTCTCTGCCTCGCATCGCACATATACCGCTATTACCACTAATGCGTTGATCCTCATTAAACTTACACTTTTCGGAAGCTGTGGAAGCAACACTGGAGTGGCATTGCAGCTCCTGCTGCTGCTTCCAGCGTGAAAGCGCGACAAAGTAGCGTTCGTAAATGAACAGTTGTTGACGTAAATGCATTGCTGAGAGACAGTTGCCCGCCGACTTTAATGAGATATCATGGAGTTCAGCCAGAAGCGTGTTTTGACAATTGAGTTTGACTGCTGTATTGGGACACTGGCCCCATAGCCAAGACTCGAAAATCACTTCAGATGAAATGCGGTTGGCAGCAGCATTTTGGACCGCCGTAGTCATTTTTTTGATAGCCGAATCAGAGTCCAGCGTGCGACAGGCAGAGCAATTGCATGCTGACAGTGGCCCACAGTAGTCCAGAGGACAGCACGAGCATTGTAGCTTTTGTACGCCACAATAATGCTTACCATCGTCGCCAAGGTAGGATAAGTGACCGGCAGCGTTGAGAACAGGAGTTGCTGGGGATGAGACTAATTCGCAATCTTGTATGAGGTTATTCCAGAGCACAGCAGCATCTTCAACGTTTCGCAAGCTGGCAATGAGATCGGCACGTAGCCATTTGGAGTCGAGAAAAGGCAGCGGACGTAGGTAAAGATCAGCAGATGCATTACACGAGGACATTATTGACGTCACTGCTGCTCTTGGGCTACAGTGATTATGCTATATTAATATTTTTGCAGGTTTTAATGTCACAAAATTAAGTACTGTGTGATTGATTTAAAATCGAATCCGGTGGTGGTTACAGTGTTTACAACGTGATACAATTATATATGTATATATATTTTAACAAATGAGCACCCGCAGTGTTAGTCGTTGCTGTCAAGACAGCAGAATTTTGTTTACATTTTATGGTTGCTTATCATGTCAGAGCTTGTTATGTATGGCCTGATTCGTTTTATTTCGCTGGGTAATATAGTTCCAGTTATGCTAACTCGCTGTACATTTAAAATATACGTAAATTAAATTGCAAGCAAATTTCGAAAAAATTAATTCAATTGAAAAACGTGCGCATGAACCTCGCATTAACCTCCACAACTTCCCCTGCCCGTGCAGTCTCTAACGAAGCGCAACGACTTTGATACCACTCACAGTGCAAAGTAGAAACAAAGCGTATGTGTGACCGTATGTTTGCACGATTTTACGCTAACTTCTACACAAATGCACGGCGCACCACCGCCCACCAAGCTTCTCACGACGAACACCTCTTGTTCCGTTCAGTTTCGTTACTGCTCCTCCCTTGGATGTTATTATGCGATGTCGCGGCACTAGCTTTGATGTCGTCACTTTCGCTTTTGTCGATTTGTTTTGACCGTGTAACAATTTGTGTTGATGCTTCTACTATTCGTGTTGTTTTTTTTTCCTTCCCCTCGATACTTGGTACTATGTACATATGTATTTACTTCCACCACTAATCGATGATGGCTTGTGCGACTGTGGTTGTTTTTGTATGTGTTTGGGTTCGGCCTTTGGGAAAATTCAATTTTGCGATAACTGCGGGCCACTAATGAGTCTCCGCCGACCACAGTGGAGTCTTCAATTGACAGGCTGCTTTCATTCACATTCGCTATGAAACTACTGGCACACTGCTTCCTCCACCGCCTTAAAAAAAAAAAAATATAATTTTATTTTGGTATTATGTACTATTGGTAAAACTATGGAAGTATGCATTCCTCGCACGACACGAATTCGATCTACTTACAACCCTTCCGCACTATCTGCACGCAACTATAGTACACACACACGACTCACAAAATTTTCACTGCTCAAGATTTTTCTTCGAATTTTCAATTGCAATTTTTTCGCTTCAAACTCGAAATTTAGATTAAAAGCTATACACCAACTTGTTGTGCTGCTCGTCTACTACAACTATTTAGTCTTTTGAATAGCGAATTTTAACTTTTTCCTGGTAAAATTCTCATTAAAAAGAGCGCTGCAGTTTTTCCAGCCAGTTCAATAAAGAATCTCGAGAAAATTTTCGATCGACTGGCATGCTGCCGGACGCCTTTTCAATAATTATTGAGTGTTAGAAAAGAATACCCAAAAAACTCCCAAAATAGAGCAGTAAAGTTTTTTGGGTAAAAAAGTTTCGGAAAAGTGCGTATTGAATGAGATTTGTTTTACTGAACTGATACTTTAATCCGGTGTTGTGATGAAACAAAAAAAAATTCAAGAATATTGGTAAAATTTTAAGGACATTTCTGGAAAACTTTCCCGCAAAACGCCTTCAAAGCTGAAAATGTTTCTGCGAATAGACAGATCGATTGACTGCGCCAACCATCTAAATCAAATAAAGCAGTTAGTGTGTTCCAGCACGTCTACGATTTGCAGGATTTAGTCATGAGAGTAACTAAGCTACCGTGCCCGGAATGAAGTTTAGGGATTTAGTCCGGAGTTTTTCTTCTGGCAAATTCATGAAAAGTGTCAAGCGATAGGCAGAGTTGCATTAGTGTCAAACATAAAACACGGTGGAAGGAAATAACCCAACATTTGTTAAAAAATGGAAGTAAACAACGAAATATTCGAATATACATGTATGTAGTTATTGTATTAAACTTGCTTATAGCATAACATCTATTACTTTTTAAAAAATCCAAAAAATTGGTCAAAACTCATTGAAATTCGGCGTTTAAAAGAAAATAAAGTTTGTTGTCATTGTTCTTATTGTTTTTGTAACAAAATGTCAACAAACAAATTTACAGCGTCATCTGCAGGAAAACATAGCGAACTGCTATTACAAAAAACAAAACGAGCGAGCAAATATCGAACCATGGGCGTAGAATTTGTTTTGTGAAAAAATTTTGATTTCCTATATTTGCATCCGTTTTCCTTACAAATCGCCACTTATTTTGACGCAATGCACGATAGCGATCTGGTGGAAAATGCAGATAGTGTTAATTACCTCATAACAGAGCTTTGTCGCAGTCTCGCAAGCCAGCATGGATTGGAGGAGCCCGAATGCAGCACAGCTGTCAGAAAACTGAAGCCACTTGCCTTTGAAATCCTGCTAAAAAAGTCAACACAGCCGCATTCCTATCCGCCAGCAGATGATGAGTCCGAATTCGATCCACAACGTGCTGTTGATATGCACATCTTTGCCGCCAAGCTCCATTCGCGCGCCGATTCACAGGTTTGTGCGCGCTATGAGGCGCTCGAACAGCAGATGGCAGACATAAGTCATGTGCCGTATTTTACTGACGGTCCGGGCCGTGGTGTGCTGCAGCTGTTGCTCTTGCTGCAAGGTAACGTGCGAGAAGAGGAGCAAGTAGTAAGTACATACATTGTAGATGAAGTTATTAATATTAATTGCTACTGCAATTACTAGCCTGTGCCAAGTCCGCCCGCGTTACTGGTGCCCGGACCCTTTACGCTCTTCGCCAGCTATGAGAATAATCGATACTACCCGAAGCCACAAATATGCGATTGGTTGCATCCACAACCGCGTTTTTTCAAAGGAGTGCAAGACGTTAAGGCTTTGAACAATCCATATATGCCGAAATACTTGCTGGGCGAAGAATGCAATTTGCTGGCAAAAATAGAGCAGAAGTATGGTGCTAGGGTAGACCGCCGGCCAGCTACAGCACAAGATTGCACTTTTACGGCCATGACTCGTCGATTGCTAGGAGCTTCGGTGCGCGTGAATATGAATGCTTTTCGATTGTTGACCGATTGTGAACCACAGTCTGCGGAGAAACTGAATGTATGTATAAATTACCACATTCAATAAAATCCCTACAAATAACTTGTAAATGTCTTGAAGTTTAAGTTTAAAATGCCCTTTCCACGTGAACCTGTGCCTGTGATTGAAAAAACAGCCAGTTATTAAGGAAGAGCCTCGTATTTTATCCTGGAATTGGCAAAGTTTGGGCTGCCGTGGTGTGCTGCGTCAGCGACCCTTCGCCAGTGAAGCGGAAGTGATGATCGACCTCAAGTGCCATTTGTGGCAAGTGCATGGACGCAAGTTCGAAGTGAGTCTCATGAGCTGCGTCGACTTTATGCACGATCTTAAGGCACTAACTGCTGGAATACAGTCGGAGACATTTCAGCATGACGAGCAAATGGTGTTTACCATGCGGCCAAATATTACTGTAGAAGGCTTGCTGCCGGAGACGGTTAGAAGCTATGCGGAGAGCTTCTTGGACTGTGGCACCTGCTACAAGCGGCTGAATACGATGATACAGAAGAAGGACTATAAGTTCATGTTTGAGGGATTTATATTTCGGGTGGGCGTGATTGGTTATATTTAAGACAAGAAAGCGTTTTTAATTTCTGTTTGATGCACAGGCACTTTGCAGCGCTATCGATGAGTACCTGCTCACTTTTCGCCAGTACGTGTTTGCGCATCATGATGACACCTTAATTGCTTACTATGCACGCATGCGCAAAATTATGCGGCAAATAAGCAATTTGTCATTTACGCTGGCCATACACACGGATGGTAAACGTACTCTAGTAACGTGAAATTATCTTTTAACGCAATATTTTTTTCTGAATTCTAGTTGATTCACATGTTACTCTGCCTATGGGATCGCAGTTTCTGGGCTACCTGTACCGCGAGATAGTACACACCACCGAGAAGGACTATATAATGCTGTTGGTTTACATATTAAAGTCGTGCTGTCACGTCTACTTCAAGTTAGTTGGTTAAGATGCTTTTGTAGAATGCGTTTCATTTACGTTATTCATAGGCATCTGCAGAAATGGATTTACTATGGGCTTTTGGACGATCCCTCCAATGAGCTTTTCATCTGCTTCGTGGACCACTATCGGCCCAATACTAAGTACTTCTATGACAAGGCCTACTTTGTGCGCAAGGAGTCTGTGCCGGGCTTCTTTCAAGGCTACGAAGACGATATTTTGCAGTGTGGAAAGTACACGATGTTGCTGAAAGCCTACAAACCGAATGTACGAAGATGTGATTTTATGTTATTTTATTTTTATTTTTATTTATTTATTATTTACTTTTATTTATTTATTTACTTTTATTTATTTATTTACTTTTATTTATTTATTTACTTTATTTATTTTATTGCTTTTTTATGGCATCTGGAAGCGGGGAGAGTTTATTGCTGCATCTAGTTGGCAGGTTGAGAGGCAATTTGAGTTAGTCTGCGCTTCAGTGGCTATACTGTACTAAATTGTGCTAGAGATATATTTGGAAAGGCGATTGAGGAAAGATATGATATAGGAAAAGCCATGATTTTTGCAACGAGGTTTAAAACATTTATGCGACAACGCCTCTTTCACAGTTGTAGCCTAATTTGTTGTATAGACATCTCGAGAACTTCAGAAGAAAATGCCTGGGGAAGTCTGTGTGCGAAGTTGAATTTGCGAAAATTAATTTCTTTGTTAGGTACAACGAGAGATCCATGACAAAGGGAGGGTTAACATGAAGAAATTCCAACATGTAATCAACTTCTCAAAAAATAAGTTTAGAAGCTCAACAAGTGTCCTTCCAAGACACTGCAGTAAGAGAGGTGATCTCTGTTGCTTTAGCGACTCGACCAAGGAGACACCATTGCATAATTTCATTGACTGCGAAGTCACCTACAGAAAATGTGAAATGAGTCTAAGCTTGTATTATTAAAATCACTCTCTTCCCCCGAAAGCTCTTATTAGCTTTCTGAGGATTTTAGGCTTATAATACGTGTTGTGATGAGTTAGAGTCATGTTTAATTTCTTCTAACCTCTTTCCAGCACCCACTTTTCACGCTTGACTACCCACTTATTTCCGTGTGCCTCACCTACGATGAGATTCAGCGTCTAAAAAGAAAATGCGTGAAGTATAGAGAGCGCGCACAAGCAGCTTGTGGCATAGCAGAAGTCAGCATTCGCCGAATATTCGAGGCACGTTCCGCCATGAAGCGCGAATTCTACCAACGCGCCTGCAAACGCACCCGTGAGAATCTCGAAAAATGGTCACTAGAGCAGCATGACCGCGCCTTGCTGGCTGCCGAGCAGAAGAGGCGGCGCCACCATGAGTTGACGACACAGCTGCAAGATGCAAAGCAGCGCAAAATCGATGAGCGCCGTGCCAATGTGGAGTTGGAGTTGCGCTTGCTGCGCGAAACCGAGAAGATAGAAGAGCAGCGACTGTTGCGTGAGAATATTAACCTACGCAAGCGCATTGAGTACTATCAAGAGCTCAGCGATATGATGCGAAAGGATGAAAGCGAAAAAGTGGCGCCAAATCAGCCATCTGAACCACAAGCCAAACAGGAACAGCCGCCGAAATTGAGTCCGCAGAGTGATGGCAGCGCTGATAGCGCACACGCGCCGCAGACTCCCTGCAGCGGCGGCAGCGGCGGCACCGAGACGGACTTTGAGTCGTGCTGCGACGAGGAGGGCAAGGTTGGCGATGCCCAAGTTGATGCGGACGCTGATGCTGACTCAGCGTCGCTGTATGCCGAGTGCTTGTCAGAGGAGTTTGAGCAAAAATTTGTGGAGAACGAAAATGAGCTGAAAACGATTTGTGCCAAACTAGTGTGCAGTGATAGCCCGCTCGAGACAGATAAGACATTAGTGTTGCTAGAAGAACCTGCGGCTGGCGCGACGCAGGAAGTCAGCTCGGATGCTAGTTTAGATAGTGCATTGGGCTTTACACAATCAGACACTACTGGCCTCCTGGTAGATGCGTCCAAAACAACATTCCTGAAGCGTAGCGCCTCTGACGTGATTAATTCGAATGAGCTGCCAATGGGCGGTAATGCGAGACAAACCATCAGAGGCACCACAGTGACCATTTGTCCGGCACCCACTGCGCTAGCCCCACCAGCAAACGAGAGACGTGAGTGCTCTACGTTTTTATTAGTTAGAGCCGATTATGGGCAGTTAACTACAGATTTTTGTACTAAAGATCTGTAGTTAACTGCCAATTCTGAGTTAACTAGGAGTAGGAATTCGGTTTAAGACTAAGATTAAAAACAGATTTCCACAGCATGAGATGAACAAGAAATTAATCGGTTTTCTAGGCGTAACTATTAATTTTTTTTTATATATTTTTTACACTCTTCCCTCGCATTTCAGCAATCACCGAGGCTCAGCGCAACAAGATACGCGTTCTCGCTCACGAATTTGGCACCTATTGCTCAACCACACCCCAGCAGCCAATCCAACCTGACATCAATCTGAATACGCTCCCGGACAGCGAGTTGACGGACTTGCAGCGCAACCGCCGACGCATGATGCAGAACGATCTTTTCGCTGAATACAACAAAAGCCCGCTAGCCGACCGCGCACATCTCAATCTCAACTTGGACACAGAACGCGCACGCAATCGACGTCGTGTGCTAGAGAGCGAATTCGATATACTCACCGGAAAGACGCCCTCAGAGCAGGCAGCCACACCGATGTCCACCACCTCTGATACGCCGCTCACAGAGAGTACTTCGGAGCTGACTGCCGCAATTGCCCAGCAAAGTGATCGCGCTAACGGTAATACGCCCACGAAGATGCCTCTAAAAATTAATGTTCAGTTGGCGAATGAGCAGCAGCCAAAAGCAGTGGAAGGGGTGTCCTCCGGCGCTGGGTTGCTCGGCTGCCAAACTGCGGACGCCCATGATCCATCTGCGACACCTGAAAGCGCGCTAAACACCGCCGGCTTGCAGGCCAAGCACGGTTTTGATTTTGTTGACGCTGAGCGCGAGAAGAAGCAACAGCAAGCAATAGCTATGGAGGCGCCCATACAGCCGGACGCTATGTCTGTCTCCTCAGGTGCCGAATCAGAAGAGGAACTCGCCATACCAGTGCAAGATGACAGCGATCCCTACAAACGTAGTCGGGAGCTGCTCGATAGCAACTTCACCTGTGCCACGCGCAGCCCTTACATGCGCCTGAACATGAGTACCACGCCAATGGTAGTGGCGGGCAGAAAGTCACGCGAGTCGCTGCAGCAGTTGAAGGTCAACAGCATGAGCGTCATAACGCTAACAGAATTTCTACAAAAATCCGTCATATTGCCAATGACCACACATCTCGGTTTGGTCAACAATGAGGTGATGCGTTTGTTTCTCGAAGAGCTGCGGATCCTGGATCACCTTCGTAGCTTGCGCCACTATTTTTTCCTGATGGACGGCGAATTTGGCTCGATTATTTGCGATGGCATCATAGGTAAGCTGGAGAGTGGGGCTACACCTGCGAAGCTGCTCAACTACCAGATGCTGCATTCTATACTCGACACCGCGCTTGTATCGAGCATCACGGGTGAGTTATTTGCAATCATTTGATTTTTTTTTTTTGTACTAATTGTTTGCATTGCAGGCAATGACAAAAATGCCGAGAATCTCTCCTTCACCATCAGTGATGTGCCTCAGAAATTCGATCTCACCAATCCGGGCGTGTTAAACGTGCTCAGCCTAAGCTATCGCATCGAATGGCCGCTGAATCTCATACTCAGTCCCGAAACGCTCGAACAGTATGGCAACATATTCAAATATCTCATCAAGGTTCGTCGCATCAGTTGGGTATTGGAGCGGGCCTATCAGTTGCTCAAGGAGGCTGTGAAGAAGCATGGCAAGCAAATACTAAAATCGCCGCAATATCGGCACGTGCAACTGATGCGCCACAAATTCTATCACTTTGTGCATGCACTGCAGAATCACATCACCGCTAATGCATTGCAAGCGTCGTGGAAGACATTCAAAGATGACCTGCTGCAGGCAAAGTCCATCGAGGACATCTATCGTAAGCATACAACCTACGTGAAACGTATTCTCTTCCTTTGCATGTTGAATCGACACAGCGCCGAGTTTTACAATACCATCGAAAGTATATTCAAAATCTCGCTGAAGTTCTACAAGTGAGTTTTGTTATTTGCGGATAAATTAAACTCCCTTAATTCTATATTTTTGCTCCCTCTTCTTCTATAGCAACTTGAAGTCGCGCGAATTCAAGCAACGCAGCGGCGACGAGCACTTTACGCATTCGCGCTACGAAAAACTCGCCAACGATGAACAGGAATTTGATAAATTCATCAAATTCACTATATATTTGGGTAATAAGATTGTGCGTCATGGCTATCAGGAGGAGATTGGCCAGTTGATTGCCTTGATTAATTTCAATCAGTACTACAGCGCAAGTACGATTGCATAATGTTAAGATGTTGCTGTTGTTGTACCCAAAAGGTTTTGGCAAGTAATGGCCAGATATTAATCTACGTCGTTCTGGTTACGTAGAGCCGGCTGACGTGAGAACGGCTATTATTGGCTCAAATGTCTTAAATGTAAACGCTGAATTTATTTGCTTATATAAAACTCGAATTTGAAGTGTTACTATGTATTAATGCCTACAAAGGTATGTATGTATATTTAATTTTATTATTAGTTAATATGCGTTGAATTAATTAAAAATAGTTAATATTACTTCGTGCTAAATTAAAAATATTTATTTTTTGGCTGAATGGTAAGAGGTGCGTACTATCACTTTGTAGGACCCTGATCAAAGCAACATAAAAAAAAAATTAGAAAAAGTTGTTTTTATTCGACAGGTAATGGCAAACTTCTGAGCGCATTTTTGCTTTGACAAAGGGTCTCATAAAATCCATTTGCCGTTCGGAGGAGGCATACAATTGTGGGCCCCTTCATTTGTGTTAACGATATCAGAACGTAAGCCACAAATTGGAGGAGATATGCGGCCAATCACATAGGAAACAAGTAATTTTTAAGCAAAAAACAAAACCGACTTCAATTGTCATATAAAATTTTAAGATTATCGTTAATTTCTTCTCGATCCAATTATCGGATTAAAAAAAAAATTTGCATGGGACCACCCTTGAGTGGGGTACCACCTCTCCGATGAAAAAACAAATTATCGAAATCGGTTAACGTGGTCCAAAGGTATGCGGTAACATACATACAAAACAAAGCCAAGCGTCGAGTGACCAGAAGGCTGCACAATAGGGTGGTCCAAAAATACACGTGGAAAAGTAAAGTCGGAATTTTTATGCTCTCACCCCCTAGGATTGTTCTATATCGAAAAAAATATACCCCTATTTTTTTATTTTGAAATAAAAAAATATTTAGAGGTCGCTCAAAGCGCTCAAAGTTTTCCATGTATTTTTATATGGGGAAAAAACAACTTTTCGTTGAAATGGTATAGAATTCTTAAAAATCAATATATTTCTATAAGAGAACTCAATTTGTCTGCAGCAGATTCCCAATAATAATACCAAAATTTTTATTTAATCATTTTTTCATCGCAACTTTAATTTATAGGTCCGCCAAAAACGCTGAAAAATTCAATGGGGGGACCAATAAAAAATCGTTAGTATTAAAAAATGGTTAAATAAACAATTGGGTCTTATTACTGAAAGTCTCCTGAAGAGAACCAGTGTTCTCCGATCGAAAAATATTCGTTTTCAAGAATTCTATACCATTTCTACGAAAAGTTGTTTTTTTCTCATATAAAAATACATGGAAAACTTTGAGCGCTTTGAGCGACCTCTAAATATTTTTTGATTTCAAAATAAAAAAATAGGGGTATACTTTTTTTCGAAATAGAACAATCCTAGGGGTGAGAGCATTACAATTCCGAGTTTACTGTTTTTGGACCACCCTACTGCACAAACTGCCAACAACCCCCCTTGCTTTCACTTGTGGTGAAGTTCAGGTGGCCATCGGGAAGGCGAAAGCCTCCAAAGCCATGGGTCCCGACGGAATATGCATGCTGATGCTGAAAAATTTGGGTCTTGCGGGGATAGCGTACCTAACGGAGGTCCTCAATTTGTCTATGGCCACTCTCATCATCCCAGACATCTAGAAGGTGGGGAGAGTGGTCCCACTGCTCAAACCGGGGAAACCTGCCAACAAAGGAGATTCTTATCGGCCGATAACACTCCTTTCCCCTGTAGCGAAGACACTCGAGGCGTTGCTGCTGCCGTATTTCACAAACCACATGACCCCAGCGAAGCATCAGCATGGTTTCCGTAAAGTGCACAGTACAACAACAGCACTTAACGCCATAAACACTCAGATAACTCGTGGCTTTAACCGAAACCCTTCCCTGTGAGAGAACGATTCTAGTACCGTTGGATTTGTCAAAGGCGTTTGACACCGTCTGCCATTCCACGCTACTAGAAGATATAGTGGTCATAGAGGTTCATCAAGCAACCTCTGGACCCGTCAGCTTACCGACTGACCTTGAACGGCATTCAAAGGGAGTCAGTCTCGAGTTATGTGGACTCTAGACCTGTGAATACCGTTCTAGGCATGCCACCACCGGACATAGACGAGACGGAGCTTCATCTGCCTCGGGAGACACGAACGACAATAGCCCAACTTCGCTCTGGCTACTGCAGCAGGTTAAGCTCCTACCTAAGTAGATTGAAGGAGGATGTGCCAAATGAGTGTCCGGCATGCGGAGAGGCCCCACATGACTCAAAACATCTCTTCACATGCCCGGAAAACCCGACAACCCTAACGGCTTTGTCCTTGTGGACCGACCCGATAGGGGCTGCACGCTTCCTAGGGCTGCCGTTAGTGGAACTTGACGACAACGACTGAGATATCAACCGATCTGGGCGGGGTTGTTGTAGCCGCTACAACAACAACAACAACTACCTCCTGTCATCAAACAAACAGTCAGCGCATTCGCGCCTTGGCACCCACGTCACTCTTGACAGTTCTAATTTTGAGAAAGTAGAGAATTTCGTTTACTTGCGAACCAGCATTAACACCGATAATAATGTCAGCATGGAAATCCTTTGGCCAACAAGTGCTACTTTGGACTGAGTAGGCAATTCAGAAGTTAAGTCCTCTCTCGACGTACGAAAACCACACTCTATAAGTCACTCATTATGCCAGTGTTGGTATATGGCGCAGAAGCATGGATAATGACAACATTCGATGAGGCTGCTCTTGGAGTATTCGAGAGAAAGATCTTGCGGAAGATTTACGGGCATTTACCCCTTGGCGACGGCGAGTACCGCAGACGATGGAATGATGAGCTGCACGAGCTTTACAATGATATAGACATAGTCCAGCGAATTAAAATACTGCGGCTCCGGTGGCTTGGTATGTGGAGAAGGACTTGGCTTCACTTGGCATTTCCAATTGACGACAGTTGGCACAGAAGAGAAACAACTGGTGTGCTTTGTTGAACTCGGGCAAAATCGCTCGGTTAATAGATTGGAGCTTACACATATGTTAGTGTTGATTGTATTTTTATGAGAAGCTGTTTTTCATGCAAGAAATACACTCTGAGGTTTGCCATTTCCTGCCGAGGGATGACCGCTGTTAAGAAAAAACCCTTTTTCTATATTTTTTTGCGATGTTGCTTTGACCAGGGCTTGAACACAGGCCCTGCGCGCACTGCTTACCACTACACCACAGCGGCCGGCGGTTACAGCGCCAAATAAGAAGAAGAGACATAACTGGCACTTTAACATAAGTAAACATTAGCCGGATACTAGATTTGCCAAAGATATTCCACATCTATATCAAAAATAGTCATTGGATAATGATAGCTTACTTGTCTTACTTGTATATTATGTATATGCAGATACATGTAAATTAATTAAAAACATTCCTAATGTAATTCACTTCCGATTCGGCTTTAAAGCCAGCCAAACTTTGATTATTTGGTACATCCGCTGGACATTTACCAGCAGCAGTGCTGCCAAGTTAGAGTAAATGTCAACCTCGATAGCAAAATATCAGCTAAAAGTCCGTTGAATGGCCATCAACACTCCCTTGCAAATGTACATACAAATGCATGCATACCACTACCAAAACCCATGCATATGCATGTACGTACAAGCCAGTGATCACAGAGAACGCCATTGCATTTGCCATGCGTACATGAGCATGACACCTCCTCTGTGTGTGTGCGTGATTTCCTCTCTCTGAACGCAACTTTGTGCCTTAGTGGTGGTGCAGCTGCGCTCGCCCGTTTGGCATGCAAACAAAATTTAGTATTAAATTGAAAATCTCGTTGGTATGTTGTGTGCGCACGGTTGGAAGTTTTCGGATTTCCACTTATTGGCGCCCCCACTCGCCCCGCTTAACACCAACGCCAGCGCAGTGAGGTTACAACCAACGACGAACTAACCAAACGGTCGGCCAGGCAGTCAACCAGCAACAACGGGCCACCCACCCACGGCGGGAGTTGGGTGTATTTAGGAGAAGATTGTTCAGTGTCCCGTATTTCGTGTAGTGAGTGTAGCTGCAACAGCTTGCAGTATAAGGACGACATTAAAAACGCTATTAACTTTTAGTTGAATTAAAAGTAACGAGAAAAATTGCAAAAAAAAAAATCGTGAATTACAGAAGTGCTTTGCATGCGTATGGAAATGAAGTGAAAAATAAGCAAATTGCGAGTGCGAGTGCTAACAAATAAAACGGACAGGAGCGCGCGTTGACTGGACAGTGGTGGTGCCGTAGTGTTGCAGTAGTAAGACAAAGCGTGTGGTGCAGATTACTCGTAAAAAAAAGGACTAAGCACAGCTAGTGCGAGTAAATTACAGAAAATAAATAAATACATACATACATACATAAATCGTAGGCAAATTAGTAAAGTGAGTGAAAGCACTGGCGTACCTATAAGTAAAAAACAAACAAAGTTTGTATAAAAATCCTCCAAATAATTGAAAAAATTTAAGTGAAGAAAAAGTGAAGAAGCTAATGTGAAGAAAAATTTCCAGTCAAACGTGCGACGAGCGGAAGTAGGCAGGGGGTGGAAAAAGCATTGTGGCGTACAAAGTGTAGTTGGTGTAGAGTAGGTATGCTGTATAGCCTGTCGCTTGTGGAGGGGGGGTGGGCGGCGGGAAATGAACGAGTGGCAATCGCACTGTGCGATGCGAGCGCTGGACGCACATCCATACAAACATACGGAGACACTCGCTTGCATGCATACCATAAAACACACATACACAGATACATATATATGTGTTGAATATATGTATGTGCATACAATCTTGTTGAATAAATGAAATGTGCGACCATAGCGCACACACACGCACACAAAGGCAAGGGCGCGCTTGAAAGTATGTATGCATTAGCACAAAAACCCAACATACTTACATACATACATACGTACATATGTATACATGCATATTTACCACTGTACAAACGCGCGCACATACAACGAGTGCTGCCGCTGCTGCATGCCGTGCAACAACAGAAATGAATGTAATAAAAAATAAAATAGTGGCAGACGAGTTGGGCCATAAAAGCGGCTGAAATTACTGGCTGCCTTACTGACTGATTGACTGCCTGACTGCTGCTGTGTACGTATGTATGTACATATGTGGTACATATTGTATGTATGTTTGTAAGCTACTATGTATATGCAGAAAAAGCGCTTACGGCTAGCAGCGTAAAAAAAAGCAAAAACAACAATGAGAATCTTATTGGACAAAGAGCGCAGCATAGCAGATTCGTATATACATATATTCTCCATTACAATTCAATAGATTTACTACTTTTTGCCATGACTTTCCTTGCATATAATTAAAATTTGCAATTTCATGTCTGCTGAAGTTTAAATAGAAGTATGTAATTTGTCAAACATTATGTGCGATTTATAATTTTCTCAAACGCGCCCACTTTTTAATGAGTTTCTTGCCACCCGCTTCCAGCTCGCCACCACGTCGCAGGGCACAAATGCATAGTAGTAGCGCTCACACACATATGCACGCGTTCATCCAAAAGGAGAGAGCGCACAAACACGCGCACACATGCAAGTATGTATAGAGTGCGGTCGTTGGCGCATACAGCAACGCTCCTCCAGTTAACGCAACTTAATTTTTTTAATTTTAAAATTTTTTTCTGTGTGCGCTTAACTTTTTTCGGCTACTAAATCTATTGTTTTACGACGCTTTATACGCTTTTGTGTGTTTTTTCCCCTACATTTTACTCTACATACGCTTCATCATCAGTTTCGTGTATCAGCACTTCTCTGTGTATCTACAAATTTTCTTGTTGAACGAAAAAAAAACTATACACAGTGCCAATTAGATTACTGCTGAGAGCATTTTTATTGCCACAGCGCCACGCTCTCACACACGCACATACTATACGCGTACAGCGTGCGCTTGTATGCGTGTGTATCTGTGTGGGGCATCTGCTCGCTTGTGAAAGGGTGGGTGGGCGCGCACGGCAGCAAGTAGCAGACAGCAGGCCAATGCTGCCCAGTCAGTTTATAAAATATAGCGAGGCAGCGAGCTCGTGCGCTCTCTCACCTGTTTTTATGCACAGCTGTCACTTGGCTAGTAGACAGCGTTGCCGTTTTGCTTGAAAATAAGCAAAATTGATTAACATTTTCCTGCCTGTTAAAATGTTAAATTTTTCTTCGTTTTGCTAAATTTTTTTTTTTATAAAAATAGTCAAAAGAGATTATTTTCCTCAAACGTTCATAGTCAGAAGAGTTACCATTTCAATAAAAGTTTCAATTTTATTTTAGGAAGGCTCCCAATCCAGGGTCGTCGCATTTTCAAACCTCCGAGTGTGCTTCTGCCATGAAATCGCTTCTCATAAAAACCATTTGCCGTTAGGATACGACGTAGAACTTTAGGTCCCTTCATTTGTGTGAGAAGATCAAAACGCACATTATGGATAACATGATACCAAACTGGTTTTATGCATGCATTCAAAAAACTAGCGAAAGGGCAGCTAACTATTATATTACATATTATTATTATTATTTTAAAAGCCTAAAAGAATGTGTAATTGTTTTCAAATTGTCCAAATCCTTACTTTTGACGACAAAAGTGGGCCTTATATTGCCTCCACTTACTTTACAAATACGGCTTCATTCAAACTAGTACTTATATCCAAGCATTTATCGTTTTAATAAGGCCCGTTAAATAAGTTGCTTAATTTTAACGGAATTTTGTAAATTTTTTGAACGATTTTGGTAAATTTTATTTTTGGGCAGCGGCAACACTGCTAGTAGAGTGCCATTATAGCTGTCAGTGAAACTGTGGCTACGATAAAGTTTGACATTTACATTTTAAAATCACGCTCACGAAAAGTAAAATCTACACGCACACTACCAAACGAGATTTAGTCTTGCTCTTGGCACTCTCTGCTTCGGCAGGAAATGTTCGACATTGCTGCTCAGTTGCTTCCTGCTCTTGCTCTTCTTCCATCTCCGCTCACGACGCTTACATCTTCATTTGTTTATTTACGTTGCAGCATTGCCAGCTTGCAGTGCTTTTCTTTTTATCTGTGTAGGTGTAAATGCGCAAGTTTTTGTGTGTTTGCATGTGTGTGTTCACGCGCAACTTGATTACGTCTATTAGTTAACTATCCGTAAAATAATAAAACTGGTAGTAGTAAATTAAATTAAATTTTTATATTTTTAATTGAAAGTCACTTTTAATTAATAAATCATGGTAACCTCAGCTGGCAAAGGCGCAGAAAAGGCACCGTAGTGACAGCAGCTCCATTAGCGGTTATTAAATGTCAATGTGCATGTGTCAAGCGTAAAACTCAATTGATTTGCATTAAGTTAAGTAAATACATACTTGTCAATTAAAATAATTGAGTAGTGTGAAAAATGCTTTTGGAAGCAAAAAATTATTATAAAGTGTAAAATTAATACGTACATACATACATAAGTACGAAAATGTGAAAATTAAAAAATTCTGCTGCAATAGAAGGCCGCTTTAAAAAAGCATGAAGCTAAGGCCATTTGGGGACGTTAAAATTTTGAAAAATGTGTCGATAATCATAAGAAAGTAAAAAAAAAACTAAAAAAATCTAAATTGTCTCTGTTGCAAAAAAATAAAACTAAAACGGTGTGCATCACAAAAGTGTCAACGAGTAAATTCACTCAGTTAATTCTACATTTAAACTAAGATGCAATTAAATTATTCGAATGCTGTAAGAATCACCGGCTCTTCTGCCGCAACTCATCGAATGTGTCACTAAATTCCCGTAATTTGAATTTGTTTACACACAAACCAACAAATGTCAGTTGGATAGAGAAGAACAAGCATTAATCAGCTGTTTGCAAGCGCAAAAGTAAGTCGATTAACAAAAAAGCACTTAAGTATAGGTAGTATGTTTATTATTAAAACTTAGAAAAAGAGGCAAAAAAAAATCGCGGACTCTCTTTTACGCGTTTCGTACGTTATTTCATTTCTATGTTTGAATAAGCATGGCTTTGTAAGATAAACATCAAAAAAAGTCTTATATTACGGCTTCTTTCATTTACCTAAACTAAGCTTTCAGGGCACTGATGGGCGAGATCTGAATTTGAGTGGGCGTTCCGACGAATCCATATGTTGCAAACATTTTCAAAAACGAAATTCGTATTCGACCAACCTGATCGCTTAGAGAAAAGACGGTACAAAGGACGGCGCTAATCTGTATCAGTAGTGCCTTGCGGACAACACGCACATCGGCCATGTTATGTCCAGAATCAATTGATTTAATGTGCCGCAAACGCTGCCCTAAGGCTACAAGAACTAAAAAGTTGGAAAGAATAACGTCCACTTTCACTAAAAGGTATCAGACAGGGACAGTAAGTAGAGAATTATGGTCAGAATGGGTCCGGGGCATATAAATTCGATCTACACTGATAGATCCAAACTTGATAGCAAGGTAGACGGAGTAGTATAAGCTGAGCAACTAGAGTTGGCGTTATTTTTCTGCCTCCCAGACCTCTGTAGTGTCTTTCAAGCCAAAATAGCGGCTATGCAAGAAGCTGCTGATTGTATACGTCACATAGCTGTCACAACAAATATAATTTAAATCTACTCCGACAGTTAAGCTGCTATAAATACACTTGATTCCGTCATGATAAATTCACATACGGTAGCGAATTGCCGCAAATACTTCAATGGCATAGCAGATCAGTTCGCTTTGCATCTGGTATAGGTACCAGGACATTGTGATATAACAGGAAACGAGAAAGCAGGTTGACATGCCATTTTGACATTAATTAATTGGAGGTCAATTGCATACCGGCGGTCTGGAGATCTGTTTCCGTTGTCTTTATTCCAAAAGCCGGTAAGGCTTCACATACAAATGCAAAGGATCTCAGACCTATATGCCTCTCCTCCTTTGTGCTTAAAACCCAGAGAGGATAATTAGTAATTACCCATCTGTCAACATTGACAGTCGACTACGGTCTAACAATCGACGTGCCTATCAGAAGGGCACGTCCACAGAGACTGCGCTGTACAGCATGGTAAGCTTTATTGAAAAGTCTTTCAGTTACAAAGACTATTGTCTTGTAGCCTTTCTAGACATTAACAGAGCTTTTAACAACATGAATTCAGAAATTCAGAGGCCACAACACAGACTTTGAGGGGTCTGGAGGTGTACGATTCTCTGGTGGAGTTTATAAGGTAGGTGCTCTTGTGCAGGGTGATCATGACACACATCGTTGAGAACTGGGCTTGAAAATATGTGACAGGGGCACACCGCAGGGTGGTGTGCTCTTGCCACTCTTTTGGAACTAAACCGCGAAGTCCCTCTTGTGGGAGACTAAATCGGGAAGCGAAAAGATTGTCGCTCATGCGGAAAATTCCCGCAAACTCTATGCGACTTGATGCAGAGGCCTCTTAGCGATGCACCAAGATTGTCCACGCGTTGTGGCCTCTGTGTTGATTCGGAAAAAGTGGAACTTTTTCACTTCACGGGAAGCCATCGCTACTGACTCCGCCGGAGCTAAATGGGAGACTTCTAAGCTTTACGAATAAGGGGAAATTCTTATGCGTCATTCTCGACAGAAAACTGAACTGGACTATGTTTCCAGCGTTGTGAGAATGCGTCCTTGGCACGTCCATTGGTAATAAATGGGAGTTGAGACCGAATGGATTATCCTTTATGGAATTATATCATAGTGGTCTGCCTTTGACAAGGCCTCTATTCTTAATCTACTCAGCAAAGTACTGAGGACTAGCATGATCTGCATCAGCGGAGCAATCCGGAAAACACCAAATGATGCTTTAAATGTCTTTTTGGATTTTATGCCACTAGATCTAGCGGATCAGCAAATGGTATTTCTTGCTGCACTTGTGATAAGAGAGACAGGAGAAAGTAAATCGGGGTTGCAGGATCACTCCCCTATTCTGAAAAAATATAGCTTTCTTCTGGGTGTAGAAAATAATAATAATAATAGATTGGCGCTTACACATATGTTAGTGTTTGGCCGAGCTTCTCCTCCGACTTGTGGCGTGCGCCTTGATGTTGTCACACAAAGCGGAGGGACCAACAGTTTTACGCCGACTCCGAACGGCGATTGTATTTTTATGAGAGCTGTTTTTCATGGCAGAAATACACTCGAAGGTTTGCCATTTCCTGCCGAGGGACGACTACTGTTAAGAAAAAACTTTTTTTCTATATTTTTTTGCGATGTTGCTTTGACCAGGGCTTGAACGCAGGTGTTGATGAGTGAAAGCGCGCGCTGCTTACCACAACACCATAGTGGCCGACAGAAATTGTGTAAAGAGGTGTTCATCTTTACTGACAGCCAGGCAGCAATGAAAGCTGTGAGTCCCGTCACAATTAAATCAAAAATTATGCTTAACTGCCGCCAATCTATGCAAGAGATGGCTATGCAGAACAATGTAAACCTCAGTTGGCTTCACGGTCATTGGGATATAGAGGGTAACTGTATGGCGGATGAACTTGCAATGAGTGTACAACCAAGCAGAATCTTCCGGCAAAGAATGGTGGATGCAAACTACGACCTGTCGATTTCGAAATTCTAGGCAAACTTGGCTTAGGTGGAATTGAAAAAGGTCTAGAAGATTATATTCTCTAAAGAGGTAGGATATGTATTACACAATTGGTGCAGATTGCGCTTTCTGGGGTGTCCTTTCTTTAGTGACCATGGTGACGCTAGGTGCCTAGGGTCTTCAACTGGTGGCCTATGTGTGTCCATGCGTAGCAGTGGCACCAACACCTAGCTACCTACTTGCTAGATTAGCAAATAGCACTTCCTAAGTTATACATTATGTAAAACATTACCTCTTTGAGCGTCATGCTCTATGTATTACATATTTTCTTAGAAATTATTTCATACGTTTAATAAATGTTTGCAATTCTCAACCTGCGTTAACTATTGTTTATACCACTTACACTATACAAAGATAAACTGCAATAAAAGCATGCGCCTTTGCAGTTAAGTATTGGTTAGATCTCCTCCCTGAAACTTCAAGTCAAAGCAGTTACTTTTTTAATGCTCTAAAGGATTCTCACCGGCATTAATAAGTTTATTATTTATTAGAAAGCCTTCCCCTGTCGTGAGCCATATCTTGAGTGCGTTAGATCAACGGCCACTCTGCTGTTCAACTCCCAATCATATGTGAATAGCTTTAATTCTATAATTTGCTCCACTTGCTAGCGCAACAATGCTAAATAAAGTACAAAAAAAGGAGTAACAATTCTTCTCCCGCCATGACTTCCTATTTCATTCATTACACCTCGATTAGATTACCGCCTCGAATAAACTCAGTGACGTGGTGCCCATTTTGCCCACCCACTTCAAAGCTACATACACAACTTCTAAACCCCTGCACTGAAAACAAAACGTTTTTTTTAAATATTATTTTTGTTGTTATCCTCATATTCAGTTTACTCTTGTGTAGTGTAGTTGTGTTTGTTTTTGTTTACAGGTGGATCGCGTGTGTTGATTTTCGATTTACTACTTAGCTTCATTATCTGCTCACAAATTTTCTATTTACGATAATAATGCAAACCACAACAACGTAAAAATGCCTAAAAAAGGAACTGTGTATTTATTTATTAAAGCAATGCACACAACAACAAAGAGAAAAAAACGAACAAAACGAACGAAAAAATAACAAATGTGTTGTAAAGTAAGATTAAATCAAAGTAAATTATTTATTCTCGTTGATTTTTTAATTGAAAAGTAAACAGCACCGCAAGGTCGTTTTAAATGCTTGGCGGCTAAGTGAAGGGGTTTTTGATTAGGCCGCTTTGTTCTAATTGCTTTTGGCATTGTTGTTGTTGTTTTGACTGTTGATTTTTATTAGAGTACTAGTACTTTGTAGCCGTCGGTAGATTTATGTTATCTGTGCGCTATCTGTGCGGCGATTTTCTTGATTTACTTATTTATTTTTTCGTTTTTAGTTGTTTTGTTTTAATTTGTATTTGCCTGGTGTGAAATATTTTTTGCAAACCACTCATACCCGCACGGTTTTAAACGGTTAGTGAAGGCAGCCGGAAGGAAGAAACCATTGTTAGTCATGAAAAATTACATATATTTCTAAGTAAAGGCCCTTATGCAGTCCTCAAGAAAAATCGCAACAAATATTTTAAAAATTTTTCTGTTGCTTGGAATAATACTTTGCGGTTTGCTGTAAATTTTCTTGAAGACATAAATGAGTAGTCCACTTGCAAAGTGCTCTATGTAAAATTTTTTTCGATATTTAGTTTTTTGTGGTTATCATACCAGTATTTAAAGTAGTTTCATGTCCACTAACGATTTTGCACTGTATATTCTGAAAAAATAGCGTCAAATGTTAGCTACTCTAGCAAAAGTCGCTACAATAGTTACTGTATGTATATATACACTTTAAAAAGTCGCTATAATATTTATTGTACGTATTTATACGAGTTAAAAAGTCTCCATCTTCTGATGAACTTAGAAAACTGCGAGAAAACGTGGTAGTTTCGTGGCCTAGTGGAAGACGTCGTAAAAAATAAGCAGATCAATCTTCATAGAAGAGAGAACGCGAAGAGCTAAAAAAAAGCCAGCTATGTAAAAGTTACTGTTTCAAAACTCAAACTTAATTTTTTATATATAAAATAAGCAAAAACTACTATACTGCGATTTTATTTTTTAATGCTATTAGGCTCTTATTTATCCAAATTTTCAGATAATAAAAAAAAGATACAATTTGGATTTTACTGGTTGTTGTAGACGTTTTTTGTTTTAATTTATGGCTTACTATTATAAAATCACATAACGCTTTTTGCAAGTGGACTACTCAAATGCTCGAACATTTTTTTCTTAAGAGCTGCATATTGATTTAAGAAATTTTGAT